CCGCGGCATGTGGGATCTTCCCGGACCGGGGCACGAGCCCAAGTCCCCTGCATCGGCAGGCGGACTCTCAACCACTGCACCACCAGGGAAGCCCAGTTTTTTAATTTTTTCCCCAGATCTTTGGTGAGCACTTTAAAACCTGTTTCCTTCTCTCTGTCTCTCTCTTTTTTTTTTTTTTGGCAAACCATTGAACCGTGGCTTATGCTAAGGTTATATAAACTCCTCCACTAAATGAGTGGAAATGGTTGACTCAATTCTCTGGTTTGCTTTTGTGTGATCTGCTTCTGGTAAGCAGTGATTTTTTAAAAAAATTCTGTTGTGTGCATTTTCACATAACAATCTTCTGTTGTTTCAAAGAAGTATGAAAGGCCAAAGAAGAGACTGGTAAGCTATATCAAATGAAATCTGTGAAATGTCAACTGCAGATCAGCAGCTGGGGAACAGAGTTGGACCCAGAAAGACTTCAGACAGTCTGTCTTCTGGCTCTTGGACACTGCTGTCACTCAGAATGAATGAGAGTGATGTCATCTTGTCCTGACATAGTGGTGGAATGAGATATTCCTTAGGAGAAAAATTATAAATCACTGCAGTTTATACTCAGCATCAAAATTATTTGTTTATTTATTTTAGTATCAAAAAATTTAATTCATCTTCTTTGGAGTTAAAGAAAATTTTTCTGTTTGGGGCAGAAAATTCAGACCATATTCATTTGGCCATGTGTGTGCGTGTTAAAAAGACTAGGTTGGAAAATAGGTGAGGACACTAAGAAAACGGGATTTCGAGGCCCCCTCTACTCTACCTTCAGTAACAATAACATTTTATGTTTTGCTTAGCAAGTTTCTGTTTAAGCATGCATGTTTTTTGTTTGTTTGCTTGCTTCTGGAGTAAATGGCCTCAAACTACTCAAGTTTCTTGAGTCTCTTTGGCTGTTTAAATAACATTCCTGGCATCTCTCTTGCTGTGATTTAGTGATTGCTTTTGGTTGCTCCCAGGGCCTTGCCTTGAACAGTAGGGCTCTCTCCTTCTCTGCTCCTCTCTTGCCCTCTCATCCCTGATTCTAATTTGCTCTTTCTATGAGCTATTTAACAAGTAAGCAAGTTTATAAAACTTAAATTTAAGTTAATAGATTGTGAGAGATTTTTCAATAAAATACAATGTAGTGTTTTTAGGCAGTAACAAAATTGATTCTATGCGCTGTACCTGAAAGTCAGTCATTTATGCACTCGTTTCTTACACTGGGCTTTTTAGTGCTAAATTCTTATTTATTTCCTTGTTCCTAGAAATTGTCTGGATCACAATCAAGATCACATCTTGTTACTTTCCATCTTTTCTTTATATATGTAAAAGTTAGAGTTTTCGTACCAATTCTTTCCTTTCCAAAGCAAAGACTACTTTAAGTGTACATTTATTTCATTTAGAATAGTATATGTTTAAATTTTTATTAATACTTTATATGGAGTGACGTACTGTATTTTTTTTTTTTTTTTTTTTTTTTTTCCCATACGCGGGCCTCTCACCGTTGTGGCCTCTCCCGTTGCGGAGCACAGGCTCCGGATTCGCAAGCTCAGCGGCCATGGCTCACGGGCCTAGCCGCTCCGCGGCATGTGGGATCTTCCTGGACCGGGGCACGAACCTGTCAGTATGCGGGCCTGTCACCGCCGCGGCCTCTACCGCCGCGGAGCACAGGCTCCAGACGCGCAGGCCCAGCGGCCATGGCCCACGGGCCCAGCCGCTCCGCGGCATGCGGGATCCTCCCGGACCGGGGCACAAACCCACGTCCCCTACGTCGGCAGGCGGACTCTCAACCACTGCGCCACCAGGGAAGCCCGCATACTGTATTTTGAAATTATATTAACTTATACCATATAATCTTATTTATTTGAATAACATGGTGAAAAATCCAGACTGAATTAGCAAAAAGCAAAATGTAGAGTTGGTTAAAGGCTCAGTAAGTATTATTTTATTCCCCCCAGGTCTCTGAGATATAGATGATGCTAAAATCTTGATGCGTAGGTACTTCCACATTTTTTTTCTTTGCTCAACATTGCTATTACATTAAGTAATATGTGGTAACCAAGAGAGAATGGGCAGGGTGTGAAACTTGTGTGAATAAATAGATAAGAATGATTTGTAATTAGCATATAATTATATACTCTCTAGATAGATAGATACATAGATATACAATTTATATATAGATATATCATCTAAATATAGATATAGAGGTCTGTTGTATGAAATTAACATTCCAGATGACACCTAAAATGCTCAGATGAGTTCTGTTCTTTGAGTTGGTTGAATACACCCCTTTTTTATAGCTAGTAATCATAATTCACCCTATAGTCACATCATCCCGAGTTATAAAAATGTACGGTTTTATATTGCTCACAGTCTTTGCCTCCTTCCCCTTCCCCATACACATTTTCTACTCTTTGTTAATCAAACCTTCATTTATGAGTCAGACTTACTGTGCTGTGGGGGAGGGAATTGTGAGACAAAATTTTTCTCCTCCATCAAGCTGGTGATACTAAGGTTCTACTTCTAAATACTGCAACTTGCTCCATCTACACATCTCTGCTCCATCAATCCTTAAGAGAAAGGACAGGTGGCAGAAGTACCAGAAGAGAAGACTGAAAAAGCACCAAGAGCATATGTTATATCTTTTATTCCCAAACAAAGAAATATAATTAAGAAGGCAAAGGATCTTGCTGCTTTGCCCCCAAAAAACAAAATTGAGATGCCAAAGATGGCTATTTAGCAATGACATAGGTTTCCTTCCAATTCAAATCCACCCCTTTTCCTCCCTCCCTGGAGATCTTCCGTTCACAGAATTCTGGTGTTGGTTGGTGATGTGGACTCCTTCTAGCCCCAAAGTCTGTGATCTCACAATTCCTCCTGCCTCTCCCACAAGCCCAGAGCAGCCTGTGAGACACATTGAGGACATGTTCCCCAAGAAAATTGCCTCTATATGGGGAATCCCGGCATACAAGTTTTAATAGATATTCTCAGGACAGTGCCAGCGTTCATTTGCTCTGTTTTTCCTCAAGGCCATTCAGCACATCTTTTCAAGTTAATTCCAGTTAAGATGATGTGCTTGGAAAATATATATTTACCAGGCACAGGACACTCAGTTACTATTCTCTTCCAGCTGAGTGAAGATCTAAGTTCTTGACTAAGCAGGCATCCTAACCCAGCTAGTTTCTTTAAGCCTCCTCTGACTTGTCTTCTCCGTAAGTTAACCAGTCCAAATCCTCCCTTCTTGGTTCCTACATCATCTTACATAGTCTCATCAGACCTCAGCAAGGGGGATGCAAAAACAAATGGGATTTCATCCCATGGTTTCTTACTGTGGCAATACAAATGTAGAAGCTTTGCCTTGTTAAATACTATGGTTCAAAATGTTGAGAATTCCTTGATAAACTTGACTGGTTCGTCCTCCCTTTGATCACCTATGGCCCTACACAAAAAGCCCATAAAAATGAAGTGACCTGTTTCTATGAAATAAGTGGTGTACACAGATGGCGACATCTACATGTTGGCATAAAACAAAGCCTGTCTTTCTATACAGTGTAAGAAACAGCCTATTGAAGGTTTTCAATCACCTGAGCCTTTGCGGGGAGACTAAACTCTTCATTGCTAATATAGTTTTTCTGCACATCATTGTGATGCTTCTTTTCACTGCCCTGACAGAGTCCCTGCTCCTTTCTCCACCACACTTGCACCAGCCCCCTGCTGAA